ATTATGCTTTGCGCGCTCAGAGTTTAACGTTTAATTTAAAATTTCGAGTTTAAGGTTTGCAAAGAACCACCTTTTTTTAATTACTGTAGCTGTATATATAGCGACAGAGATAAAGTGACGAACGTTTACAAAACAATTGTGTTTCATGAATAAAACTCTTTAATGTAAATTATCTTGAACCTGCCTCTCCTCTGTTAGATAGCTACTTTAGTCTTTTTGTAAACTGGAAAATTGTTCTTTCTAAACTATTTACTACATTTTGGGATTTATGTACGTATAGCCGTTCGGAGTTTGCACCAATTTTTCACTTGTTGCCCGGCGGGATACGTTGCATATATCTGAATCCACGTGACTGCGAATCAAACAATCACGTTTAGTTTAAAGCACTAGCTATATCTATAACAATACGGCAGTACCAATTGTTCTTACCATTTCCTCACAGAATCGTTGCAATCTTCTTGGTCATTTTCTATTAATATTTGTTTCTCATCTTCTGAGCAGTACACTGGTGAACAAGCAATTTGCTTCAGTTTTAGTACACATAAGCTTGAGAAAACCTCAACATTGTTGTATTTAAGAGCTTGAATAGTTTGGAAGAGTTGCACCAATACTACGGATGTCTTCTCGTAGCCGTCCAACAAATCGTTGGGCATCTACATTGAAAATCAGTCGAAATAAAAATTTGGGAAAACTAGTAAACGGTGATTGACATTGTCATTGTTGTTTCAATTGAAAATTTTGCTGCAAGCATTTGCCGGGAAGTACTGCCCTGTTTCCAAAAGTGTTTCCAAAAAAATTAGTTTGCTTTCCAGGTGATCTCGTGTTCGTATTTTAGCCAATCAGCGCTCAGAAAGGGTTGTCCGAATAGAAATCCATTTTGATGTATTCAGTCAATTATATATTTCGTTCTTCTTTATGAAACTAGTTGAAATTTTGTAATTATGTTTGGTTATGAGAACTCTAGCTCTGACAAAAATATGGAATCGAAATAAAGTATATTACAGGAGATATTCAGTTGTTTTAATCATAAAATGGATTTCTATTTGACAACTAGTGCCAGTACTTTTCCGCATATCAAGATCATCTGGTTCCCAAACAGGGAAAAAGCTATAGAAGTATATAGAATTTAATTATTTATTTTTGTTTATTTATATAAATTGCTTCCACCAAAAATACAAAAAGTGGTGCAGTTAACAATATGTACAATTAAACTCCAACTTGTAAAAGTGCGCCCTTAATGGGTGATTCCTGTTATAGACTAATTTTTTACAAAGGCAAGAAGAACGAATTCCAACACCACAGCTAGAAAGAGCGTCTTAGAATGAGTAAAACTGCAAAGATTGGTTGCTAAATGTTGTAAAATGAAGAAAGTATAATCCTGTAAAGTTTGCAAATTTTGTATATATAGGCCTATATTGTTTTGTATTACGCGCGCGGTAGATTTAGACTCCGCGTTTACACGGTACCGGACGAATTTGGGATCGGGCTGAAATTCGTCCTTTTTTGCCTAGCTGTTAGTACAGGCGAATTCGTCCGGTTAGGGTGTCTCAAATTCGTCCGGTTCCGCGAAAAAGGACGAATTTCGTCCCGGTTCCAACTTCGTCTGCTATACCGTGTAAACTATGTAAACGGGGTCTTAGAGGTTTTCGTATTAATACGTTTTTAATTAAGTTATGACAAGACAAACTGACAAATAAACACATAAACATACGTGGGGGAAAACTCGACCTCTTGGCGAATGTAATAATTAAAGCACTATAATTGCTGAGTAATAAGATGCATGGAATTAGACATTTCACAATCGTGTAGAAGCCACAATTAGTAATTCAATCTGTAGCCTTAACTTCCGCAGTCACCAAAGTCTACTCGCTTTAATCGATGTATACTGACCCATTTGAATAGCCTACACAACAACTCAATCTGATACAACTTTTCAATTGTCAGAAGAAAAAACTTAAATCAAGATGTCTCATGCTTAGGCACTTGCCATGCACGTATTTCTCTTTTATAGTGAGGCAATTATTATGAATACAGCACTCAGACCTTATGTAATTTTAATCAATTTTAGCTTCCTGATCGAGTTTTGGACCGGCGACACGTTTCCACAACAATCGTTTTTGCATCTGCTAACAGTCGCCAGCCTTATATTAGTGTTTTTGTCCGTATGATCAATGCTAAATACTAGTCGGTAGGAAATACATGTAGGAGTAAGAAGCCAATTTTGAATGACATAATGATTGTGTACTGATATTTTGCAATTTGAAAAAGCCATAATTCACGTTATTTTGAGGAAGGTTTGAAAGCCTGAATTTCACCCGGACGATGCATGGTTGAAAATTTTCTGCAACTATGACAAATCTATCTAATTCTGGTTTATACTACCAGTTAAAATCATGATCATATAATGGTAAAAATAAACGTTTCTTCGTTCTTCTTCTTACACAAATGTACTACAGTTATAACTGAAAATGTACTTCAGCAATAAATAAACTGATTCAAACATTATTTTATCTTTGGCGTATCATAATTTTAAATTTCTTTTATGCAAATATATTGATCTATATATTGAAACTTTGGGGTTAGACAAACCTTGTATTTCGGCTGAGGACAAATCCCTTTGATACGTCTTGACATTGCAACGCAGTTTGTGCTCGAATGCAATCCCGTCTTCACGATTTCGCAAAACCTATTTTTTTTTAAACTTACAACAACTGGTGTCGGACATGTTGTATAAAGTTTCTCGCATTTTTCTCTCACGTTCCCATAATCTCGACTTCCATTTACAAGACATCGTGCGACATATTGCGAGCATGTAACAGTTCGGATATTTTCTTGACAGTCCGCACTCGCACCAAGTTCTTCGTAAATCTTCACCGTCTTGCTCACAGCTTCATTTTGCTTTTCGTATAGTTTTGCCGAATAAGGATCCAGCTTCCACGTAATCGGGCAGGTCGCATCACTCTGTACCGAGACGCAGCCTTCCCGTTGCGAGAAAACGTAAAGCTTTCCTTGTGGAGCTTTTCGCTTAACAATAATCGAGGAATGACGAGCTGTTAGGCAGTCGAATAAACACGGAAGGAGAGCAAGCAAGGTCAGCATATGAACTGCCATTTTATATATACAGCACGTACACTACTGTTCGCCAATTTGAAGACGAAGAAACTGAAGCAGACAAATTATAATAGCCGCGTTCAACTTGAAAGTAAGTAAGCTATGAAAACCCGAGAATAGGCCTTTAGAAATATGATAAGTATATGAAGCAATCATGAGAGGCAGCTGATTCAATATTTGTATAGGTAGTTCTCTTGTAAATTGTAAGTGACTGGTCATTCATGGGGTAGTACCGAGAAATATTTGCTTGTCAAAATTTATTTTTTCACAACCTCAAATATCGATTAAAAATATATACACACCGACACCCCTGACCAAAAACTTTACAAAAGGATGCCGTTCAGTTGTCCGACATGTGCTTTCCACTTCTGTGACATGAGTTTGATAACTGCCTGTGCAATTTTCTGCAGTCTCAAGTTTCATGTTGTCTGCATTTACTTTCTTTCGAGAAACCATTTGCCTCCTGACAAATCGGAAAATGATCAAGTTAGTGACTCTGATTGATTTACATGTTGCATTCACATATGACTGTCGACATTGCTTTTAAGTCTTTAATATTTGAGTCATGCTTTGGAAATGACAAAATTGTTATTACCCAATTAACCCTTGAATTGCTTTGTTTCTCATTTACCCAACCTTTTACTCAAATACTCAATCAAAAGTTTGTTTACTCCACCATTTTCTCTTCGGTTCTACCCCCGCCATAAATAATACCCGGTCCCTAAATATACCGTTCTAGTGGGATCTGGGGACATGCTCCTCCAAGAAAAAGTTAAAAATTAGAAGCTCGGAAGGTAAATTTCCAGCTATTTTCTACAATAATTTTGTTTATTAAAGCGGATACACTTCTGTTGGACACACATAGTGAGGGTTCTTGCCGATGATTATCGTATTGTGTAACATTGTAATAGGTTTTTAAAAAAGGAACTGTGTATTTTTTATATATTTTTCAAAAACTCATTAATAATTCATGTGGAAATTAAAACACAGAGAAAAATTATAAGCTAGCGTGTCGTATCTTTATATGTGATAGAGATTTCTTTTGATTTTTCTAAACTTTAACTTTGATTTTCTCGACTTACACAACGTATTTTATGATCAAATTACTTCGCCAATGGACTTACTAGATCGATCGTTTTTGACGCAATTTAACTTAAGTTAAAACATTTGCATTTCGCAGTGGGTGTTTTATTAGACCTAAAGATACTCGGCTTCGCCTCGTATCTTTATATCTGATAAAACACTGCTGCTCATGTTTTAAATAGTAAAATAAAGAGATTAAACTATAAATAGGTTTATCGTAAACTATTGACGAAGCGTGGCGTATTTAGCTAAAAGCATATAATGGCGGCTATGACATTTGACAGAAAAATGGGATTTGGCTACTGGAGTGACTGCCACAAAAGTGGAAATGGGAAAACCGATATACCATTATTTACGTACTCATCTCAAGCATATCGTCTCGAAAAGTGCGTATTTTTTGTTTTCTGAAATCTATTTTGGAACTTACGTTTTTGAAAAAGTGGCAAATAATCGAGAGGGGGGGGGGGGAGCCAGACTACGCCCACGATGTGCTTTTACTGTGTCCATGTTTTTTTCTGAAAAACTGCGGCCTTTATTGTGATCATGAATCTGTGACGCACGCTAGGAAAAGGAATTCAAAGCCGCTTAACTTTTGCGTATTCAGTTTAAAGTTTTGAAAAAGGAGCGAAAAGGCTATAAAGGCCGTTTTTCACCAGGCGGCATTTTTGGCGCGGAGGGGAATTTCTCTTTGTCTTTTTCTTAATTAGTTTCACTCGAGAAATCACAAGACAAGGAGAAATTCCGCTCCGCGCCCAAAATTCTGCCTAGTAGAAAACCGGCTTTACTCCTTAATTTTTTTCCACTTTTGAGGATTTGAAAAAATGTTTAAGCTCACCCCATAACTTTTTGTCCATTTTTGGTCAACTGGGTTTTTGCAAAAGTGGCGGAATATAGACAAATCGTTAAGAGGTTAACTTTTCTTTTCGGGGCAATTTTGGTCAGTTGTGAGAGTTTTTGGTCATTTTAGCCACTTTGTTTTTTGTCCTTAAACAAGGAGATCACGAAGGAATCAACATTGGGGGGGGGGGGTCGTATTTAAGTCCTAAAAACATTTCCTCCGGAAAAATGCTGTCGACGGGTGGGGGGACTAACATTAGCAAATCTTAAAATTTTTTCGGACAAACATAACCAAATATTTACTTTTACCAAATTTAACACCTTTTATCCCAAGCTTTAACCAAAATTGTTCTCAATCTTTGATCGTTCTCAATCCCCTTCCCCGGGCCCCACCACCACCCCTGGAGCGACGTCCCTGTCCTTAAATCTAACCTCTTGACAATTTACAGCGCACGAATTCATAAAAGAAATATTGCTGAGAAATCAGAGCTTTAGTTAGCAATCGTAAATGTTCCCAAAGGAAATTTAAACCAATGCATGATCAATACTTTCAGCAGTAACCAATCATAACGTTAAGTCTGTCCAATAAGAATAATCAAGGGTGTGATTCATTTGTGTGGCAAATTTGAAATTCAATTTGTTCATTCTGTGGCCATTTATGTACATGGCCGCCCATAAGGAAAGAAGAGCAACTTCTGCTACAGGTAAAGTACATGTAAGTGAAAGCCGTACATGTTTATAGTTGCAGTGCTGTTTAATTCGTATTTGTTATTGCCTTAAATATCAATAATCAGTACTAAAAGCGAGCCTTGAATTCTTTAATTGACTATACAATTACAGGGCCGTAGGAAGCTCTTTTCGATTGGGGGGGGGGCTGAAAGCGAGGGCCGAAGGCCCGAGGAAATTTTTAAATTTAGAGTCCCTAAAATGCCATTTCCTGGACTTTGGGGGAAGATTTAACAGAATTCTGATAGTCAGAAAACAGCGTTTTAGTATGTCGAAATTTAC